AGTATACAGAACATCATTCTGCTGTTCTGGCAACTAAGTTTCTATTTGTGCAATAAATTCTGATAGAATTGTATAGAATATAAATGTCATCTCTCTCGACGATATTTATTTTCTACAAATAATGTTTTACGAAATTCTTACCTGACTTTTATTAACATGTAATAAATCGCGATGGAACTTGTAAATCTGTATGGATCTTGATAAATAAATTATATTTCGAGTTTCTACCCACGATCGAACTTTTTACTTTGTACTTTCCAGGCTTTATGAACCCTTTGGGATTCGATATTCCCAATTTATCTATTCACCTAACGGGCATACGCGAATAATTTGCATGCTCGGAAAGAACGGTTTTGTCGAAGTATCTAAAAATTTCGCTAGATACACATTCAATTCAAAAATATAATTTTGTTAAGTTATCAAAATAATTATAGGATACTCAAGCTGATTGTTAAATGTCAAAAATTTTGCTGCTCATCAGTTTGAATTTTCCAATTTTCTATTGTGATGTTCAGACAAAATTATTTTCATATCTGCATCTACCCAAGTTCTTACATACTGCGACAAAATCGTTCATGCTGATTGTTAGAACGTCAAAAGTATACTTTTGCAACATTGCTTGAGTTTTGAGTTTGTTATATAATTATTTTGGTGGCCCAACGAAACTATTTTCAGATCTGTTTCTAGTTAAATATTCAGCAAAATCAAGTTGTGATTTTTTCCTTTCAAAAACGTGTTTTCCAACCCTTGGAAAACGTCTATTCGAAACTGCAAAACGATTAATTTTCGCACAATCTTAGCAATAACAACAGCATGTCGAAAGAATGAAGGAAAAAATCACAACTCGACCTGCGGAAGAATAACGCACGCGGCCGCCCACGGCGTGTTTATACGCGCTACAGCCTGTAAAGGACGGGTGATATTCCTTCATCAGAAAGCCTCGCGGGCGTCGTTATTCGTCCGCATATATCCGACTCATTCGCCGTTCGGCATCGCCACCGTTACCCCCGTTTTTTACGCTTCTAATATCGCGCATAGAGTTTTACACCCGCCCCGATCTGGCAAAGGGACGCGGCCAGGGTATGGGGCAGCGGGTTTCGAGCGGGGACCGAAATCGAGTTAGAGACTACTCTGCATTCTTTACGACGAATCCGCAGTACGCCGGTAAATCTATATATCGAGAAAAGCGAATTTTCCGGATTTATGCTTCTAACGAGACCGATCCGTTTGCGATTTTTTATTTTTAGTATCATTGCTATAATTACAGCTGGCGTTACCTGTACTAGAAGCGAAATTTTCATTAATCCTTTCTCACGGTTTTATCATCGCCTTTCTTTTTTAGATGAAGTGTAACGTAGAGCAGGCATATTCAACGATGAGAGGAAGTTCTTTTCTGGAATTTAAAGTAATCCTTTCGAAATTTGCTTGAACCAACTTTCGCCAATTCGTAAAACATTAAATAGTGTGCTCGCAGATTTCTATTCGATTAGATATTATGCTATAAATATTCAAGACTGTCAAAAAGTTCTTTTCTGAAACTTGAAGTGATCTTTTCGAAAGTCGATTGGACATTAGCTAGGTTCAGTGAAAAGAGCAATTTTGTAATTGTAAGATTTTTTAATACAATTGATTTACGTTTGGATTCAATAAGAATCTAAGAGCAGGAGAATCAATCGTATTACAGAATATAATTGATTATCTTACGTAAAAATTGCAAAGTTGTTTTTTCTACCAAACGCACAACTATAAACTTTCGCTAATTCTTGAAACATCAACAATTGAGAAATGTTTGTCAATTTCCATCTGATTAAATACTATACTTATACGCCGTTATTCGTATCTCTACATATCTTAGAAAATATTATTTCTATTTAGCAAAAGATTTCACAGAATCATTCAACGCAGTCGTTGACAGGGGATTTTTAGACGGACAGGTCGACCACCCTAAAGCGTAACGCGCGCTATTACCAAAATTCGAGTTAATAGCTAGTTAAGGGAGTCCGGCCGACGGTTCTCTCGTAAGGGTCGAACGCGGAGGACCGTCTCTCTTTGTAGCCCTAATTCAATTAAGACCGCCATCTTTCCCGGTCGGCACCGTCGACGTCGTGCTCATAACTCCGTTATTGAGGCACGACTGCCCAAATTCGATCGTCAATACCGTCTTGTTGGTCTCCAGGACACGGCAGACGATAAAACCGCGTCGACGTTTAATAATCGTCTGCTCTTTGCATTCCCAATTACGCTGCCACGTGCCGCTGTCAGGAAAAGAAAGGGAGGACAATCCTTTGGGGTGCGGCTCGCGAGATTGTTGTTAATACAATGAATAATCTACCGAGCTACTCTCGCCGGTGAATAGGCTGATATCAAAGTAAATAGTGGAGGAGAGCCCACCCACCGTGATTGTTTTAGAGATAGAGGAGATATTACTATATAGCAGCACAGCATATTTAGATAGTCGGCGAAGATAGCCGTTTAAGATCGCGATCATATGCTCCTACTTTGGGATATTGCTGTAGCGATTTAAATATTTCAATACAGTTTCTATTACAGCCATCTACCTCTGCAACTATGGATGTCTATTCTGGGTCTACTTCCCAAACTTCGTATGTCGAAAAGACGTTCGCGCTCCTTTCCTATTTCAGAAATAATTCAAAGATAAAGAACATAGCTTCTTGTGCCTTGATAAATATTCATTATTACGCTTCCAAAAAAGATCGCTCAAATACTTGGCGCACGTCTTGTGAGTTTCCGCGCTGTTAGTTTTTTATCTCGCCGAATTAGCGATTCTAAAATTGTTATAGACAATATGTGCTAAAAACGAAAGACTTTTGACACGTACTAGCTTTTGAGAAATGTATCCTAAACTCGGCGTAAAATATCATTCATTCGTCAACTTATGGCACTAATTTATTACAGCTGCCTCCGAGAAGAATGCCGCGAGTAATCGACCTGTGTAATGTGATGTGCCCAGACTCATTTAGAAGATACGGTTAGAGCGCGCGTTTCTACTCGTCCGTCTCGCCGCTATCAGGACAATCGTTATTGTGCGCAGGTGCAATAAGATCCTTGCACTTAATGTGCGAGAGACGAGAAGTTGAAAAACGCCGTCCATGTCTGTAGAAGTCTCTTGACGCCGCTGCCGCCAGCGTTCGTTGAACTCACTTACACCACAGCTGTAAAAGAATAAATTTACCCAACTTTTTTCATAGCGCCCGCCAACTAAACGCTACACGCTTTTTGCATCTCTGTATATCTCTGTGAAGGAATCGAGAGTCTCTCGAGTCTATTCGATCTCGTCCATTTTGATTCCGCTGTTTTTTTTACTTGAAGATTGAAAAGATCCCTATCGATTCTAAACTCTAAATACCTCATCAGAACAATCATTAAACACTTGGTATAGACGGTTGCTCGCTATTTACCCCGAAGACGTTCTGGGACCACCAAGAGAGATATCGTACATCTCTTGGATCGCGCTCTCAAAAAATATCTTCCCGTTACCCACTCGTTTAAATCTCACCGCTCGCATAGGTATACAACCTACTCTTTCGTAGGGTACAGGTCGCGCGATTCTTTCCTAGAAGGCATTGATTCCTACGCGATATCTGCGGAAAAGATGAGAGAGCATCGTCCCCGTGATCGTCGTCGTCGTCGTCGACGTCATCGTCGTCGTCACCGTCGCCGTCGTCGCCGTCGCCGCGATGCTCTCCGCCTCCGCTCGACGGTACTAGTATAACGACAGAACAACCACCACCACCACCTCCGCCATCAGCAAAGCGCGGCCTCCTCTCATCATCATCAGCGGATCGCCGTTTCGGGAGGCCGATCGGTGGGCCTCGCCGGGGCCGATGCCACGAGAGAGAGAATTCTCTCCTTCTCGGACGGCGAGACAAAGCGAGACGCGCGGTCTCGCGGGAGTCCGCGGGAGTGAGAGAGGCGGTTATGAGGCGGTCTCCGGGGGCGGCGCCTGTCGGCGCGTCCGATCGGAAGGCGAGCCGTGCGATTGGCCGGCACTACCGCGGTGCGAGGGGAACGTGAGGACGCGTGAGGTACGGCGGTGGGCGCCTCCACCCGCGCGGCGCGCAACATTGCCGTCTCCTTGCCGAGGTACGTGCGTCTCTCTCTCCTGCCGTT